CTATGAGGGCCATGTGGGGGTGCGGCGGCCAAGCAGCAGGACCGTGGGTGTGGGAGTGGAAGAGTGCGCAGGGCTGTCAGAAGTTGCAGCAGCCTTGGCGGCAGCAGGTGGAGGGAAAGCGGCAGCAGTAGGGCTCTCCGCGCTGGTTCCTGCAGCACGACCCGGGGCGGCGCTCGCAGCACACCTTGCCGCCACAGCACGGGTAGTGGTGGAAGTCCTGGTGCAGGGGGGTTGGGGGGGGGGGGGGGGGGGGAGGGGAGGTGGAGGGGGAGAGGGGGGAACGAGGGGGAGAGGGGGGTGATGTGCGAGGTAGTGGGAGCATGGATAGCATTCAACCCAGGCAAGGAATTATAGGCGTGTGCTCTCAACATGCGTGCGTGCGTGCGTGCGTGAGTGAGTGAGTGAGTGAGTGAGTGAGTGCGTGCGTGCGTGCGCGTGCGTGCGTGCGTGTGTGTCTGTGTGTGTGTGTGTGTGTGTGTGTGTCGTATTTGTGTGCGTGTGCTTGTTCGTGTGCGTGTCCATGCGCGTGTGCGACTGCGTGTGTGTGAGCGGGGAGCAAGCGAAGGGGGAATGCTGAAGGAATATATTAGAGAGCGTAGCGATAACGAGAGAGTTTCTGCTATGAGAATGATGTTGCGTCAGCAACTTGGTAGAGTTTCGGTAGAGTTTGCCTCTAAGGACTTAGTGAGGATTGAAGTAGCATTTGGGCCAAGTAGAATTGCAATATCAACTATGAATACAAAAACAAACACACAACTAGATATAGGCTACGGGAAGGTTTCACAAAGTTGGCGTGGCACTGCGCAGTAACCCAACCCCACGAAAGTGGTGTGTGGGTGAGCGAACGCGCCTCGTCAACTTCCCAACCCAACTCAGCAGGGAAGTCAATGCCGAGCTCGCCAATTCTCCCAGCACAACTAGAAATGGCGAGACTCACAGAGAATCACCCACAACCACCAAGACCACCCAAGAAGCATGCCCACGATTTCCCTAGACTAACACCACCCCAGCAATGACTGTTTAGTGCTGCCGTTGTCACATCGCGTCACTACGCAACCATCGCCATATCATAGGGTCGGTGCTGGACTGCTCGTCTTGGTCTTTCATAGTCGACCTGCCAAGTCAAACGGTCGTCGAGGGCCCTTGCTGTCGTAGGGCCCTCTAACACTCCCCTGCCATACTACAGCAAGGCCCTTTATAATCACAGGGCATGCATACACGCATACACGCCAAAACAAAGGGAGACACACACAAACGAAGCACTCTCAAAGTGCAAACACGCACCGCACCAGCCAAGGATAGGCCATGGCACCATCCACATCATGGAGTGTCTAGGTCTCACTCCCCTTGCTCGAGAGCCTCACCTGCCCCACAGCCTCGAAGCAACGACTGAAGGCGGGGAAATGCAATGCCTTCGTGAGGTAGTCAGCAGGCTGCTCGCTCGTAGGGATGTACTGCAGCTGCAGCTTCCTGCGCTTGACCATGTGCTGCAGCCACATGTGACGACGCTCCATGTGCTTGAGGCTCCCCTTGAGCCCCATGCCACCTGCCACTGAAATGGCAGAGTTGTCCACAAAGAGAGTAGTGGGCTCCTCACTCCTCAGCAGTTGAAACTCTGCCAGCAGGAAGCGCAGCCTGCGCGCCTCCTTCCCAGCCTCCACAGCAGCAACATACTCAGACTCAGTGGAGGAGAGGGTGGCGCAACGAATCCTCTGGCTCGCCCAAGAGACAGCAGCACCCCCGAGCACGAAGATGTAGCCACCAGTGCTGGTCCTGTTCTGCTTGTCTCCCGCATCATCAGCATCGGCGTAGCCCACTAGCTCCAAGGACTCCGGCCCCCCACCAAACTCCAGCGCCACATCCCTGCTCCCCACCAAGTACGCCAAGCACCGGTCCAACTCCTTCCAGTGCTGATCACTCCGCACAGTCTGGCCCGACCCCAGCTTGCTGCAGGCGAACGAGATGTCGGGACGGGTGGTACAGGCCGCGAACTGCAAGGATCCCACCTTCTGCCTGTACTCCTCCTCCTGGCGAGACTGCCATCCCACATCCTCGAAGGTCTGCACACTGAAAGGGTCAGAGGAAAGAGGGGTGCGAGGCACTCGCAGCGGCTGCTCCCCGTCAAAGAAGCGCTTATGGACCTTGTCCACATAGGCCCCCTGGTGCAGCCACAGCCTCCTCGTAGGCCTGTCCCGAATCAGCTGCAACCCCATATATTTCTCCACGGGGCTAATCTCCCGCAGCTGAAAGGCACTCTGCAGCAGGTCACGCAGCTCCCCTAGCAAGCTCTGACTGCGGCTGGCAGCAAGTAGGTCATCCACATACACCAGCAGCCAGCACATCTCCCCCTCAGCATCACTCTTGAAGTACAGAGCCTCATCCACCTTGCTCTTCTTCCATCCAGCCCCAAGCAGCACCCCATCCAAGGCCTCATACCATAGCATCGGGCTCTGCTTGAGCCCATACAGACTCTTCACCAACTTACAGACACGAGGAGTCCCATCCTCGTAGTAGCTCGGCTGCTCCATGTAAAGGTCTCGGTCCAGCATGCCATGGAGGAACGCGTTCTTCACATCCAGCTGCATCAGGTCCAAATCAAGTGCAGCTGCAATTGCCAGAAGCACACGTGCCGTCACATAGCTTCACACGTCTCCTCATAGTCCACCCCTGCCACCTGCGTGAACCCCTTCACCACCAGCCTCGCCTTCTCACGCTCCACTATCCCATCCGGTCGGAACTTGGTGTTCAAAATCCAGCGGTTCTTCATCACATTCACCCCTGCCGGACGCGGAACCAACTCCACGTACCCTGCTCAATCAAGCTCCGCATCTCCTCATCCATCGCCTCCTTCACCTTGTCGCCCTTCCAGCAGCCTAAGGCCTCCTTCACTGTCATCTTCGCTATATCCCACTGCCTCTCAGGGTCAGCCACCACGTCAGGGTCCAGGTCTGTCCACTCCTCGTCCTCCTCCTCGTCATCCAATCCCGCTGGCTCAACCACTAAAGCCCAAGCATACTTAAGAGGCGGGATACCACGAGTGATGCGAGTGGAGCAACGCAGTGGCGCAGTGATCATCCCAGAGGCCAACACACGACCACCATCTCTAATTCCCCACATCTCCTGCTCCCCTGTCTGCGGCTCCCCTGTCTGCTGCTCCCCTAGCTGCTGGTCCACCATCTGCTGCTCCTCAATCCGCTCCTCCCCTATCTGCTGCTCCCCTGACTGCTGCTCCCCTATCTCCTGCCCCCCACTCTGCTGTACTCCATCCATACTGTGTTCGTCCTGCAGCTGCTCAGACTCAAGGCGCTGCCCGACGGTGATCTCCACAGACGGTGGCACCTCAATCCCCCCCTCACCAACGGGCGGCGCCGTGGAAGACGACGAGGAGGGCGGAGCAGGTGCAGGAGGGATGGAGGGTGGAAGGGGAGATGGAATAACAGGAGGAGGAGGGGGGGAAGCCAAGGGGGGTGAGGAGGAAGAAGGCGGGGCAGGGGGGATCACACGAGGGTAGACTGAAGGCGGAGGTGGGGTGGGGACTGAGGTAGGGACATAGGGCATAGCAGGAGGTGCGACCACCTCCTCCTCCTCCTCCGCCTCCTCGAGAGTGATTGGGAAGAGTGAGGGAAGGGGCGCATAGGGCATCGAACGCCCCCCATGCTCCTGCTGATGCCAAGCCTTCCATCCTGCCAGGGACATGGTCTCATAAAACACAGCTTCTACAGTGGTGATGAGGCGGTTGGACTCCAAGTCCAGCACGGTCCAGCCCTTGCTCGCAGCTGACACACCCAAGTGCAACCCCCAGCGAGCCTAAACCCTAAACCCTAAACCCTAAACCCTAAACCCTAAACCCTAAACCCTAAACCCTAAACCCTAAACCCTAAACCCTAAACCCTAAACCCCAAAACCCTAAACCCTAAACCCTAAACCCTAAACCCCAAAACCCTAAACCCTAAACCCTAAACCCTAAACCCTAAACCCTAAACCCTAAACCCTAAACCCTAGGTCCCGTAACCTTTCTTCGGGAATCCTTGAACCCCCTTCTGCGCCAGATACTGCACCAACTTCACCCATGTCCCCATGGGTGCGTCGCACCGGCTGACGAACAGAAGCACGTCCAGCAGTGATACAACACGGATCTTCTCAGCGTCGACGGCCGCACGATGCTCGTTGATGCGAGGCTGCGAAGTCGCGGGAGCAAGCAGGGCCTCCTGCTTCTCCAATGCCAGCTTGTGCTTCCGCCTCCCGGGGTGCTTGCGAAACGCTTGGGTCTGGACGTTGGTCGCACCTTTGCCGGTCCTGCCACATCGTCCCCTGACACCAGCGTGCTTGGAGCAGAGACTGCACTTGAAAGCAGGCAGACAACGAACAGTTTTTGTTAGGACAAGCCACGTAAACCTCTCTACCCACTTTGTTTTGTACTTCTCCAAAGCATCGGCATAGATAGCATCGACAAGCTCTTGCACGTTAATGTTAAGAGAAGGGCGCACGGCGGATTCGGTGACGACAGGTTCAGAGACTGGGACGCTTGATGAAGACTTCCCGAATCTCAGCCGTTGCTGCTTGAGTTTGACTTTGCGCGGAGAGGACGATTTCGATGTCGACGTTCCGACGAGAACTGTGTCGGAAACACCAGCAGTCGCATGAGTATAGAATCCGGGCTAGAAGGCTCGGCGGGTGTCTCAGGAACGGGAGGATCTGGATCTGGTGGGGTTGGCAGTGGAGGTTGAATACGGCGGCCTGGAGAGCTAAGAAGAAGATCGAGGCACGTACGGGCTTCCTCCACGACGTCAGCATCAGCGCCGTCTAAATCCACTCCGTCCTCGTCGTCAGAAAGGGCGTCGCCATGGCCAGCCATGGTGGAACAGCGAAGAGAAAGTGTGACGAGCACCGTCCCGGCTAGAGGAGAATGAACTGAAACCCTGGCGAGGATGGGTGTGGTGGGGTGGGCCTGCAAGAACAAGATGGGATGGGGGTAATCAAGAAGGAGCTGGTGAAGAAGGATTTGTTGCAAGGCGACGCGTCGGTTGCCAGCATGCACGAACCTGGTTGCAGGTTCGGGGTGGGTGATGTTGGGGTCATTGCCTAGTCGCGCGGCAACAATGTGCTTGGGTGTCCTGCATCGTGCGTGAGAGATGTTGTTAACGTGCCATTCGCCAGAAAGTGATGTGGTTGCCCAAAACAACCAATCACGAGCGAAGAGACCTGCGCTCGGCGACAGCAGTGCATGGTAATTGCGGGAATGATGCCACTTCCTAGTGCGTTGGCGGGGAATCTTGACATCTCGCCGTGATTGACGGGGGGTCGGTCCTTCCGGTGTACCTAGACAACCGGAATTCAGGGCACCTACGCGAATCCCCTTTAAAGCGATTTCAGCCCACCCCCTCGAGCCAATTCTGATCAGTCAGTGTGTAGTACAGAAAAAAAAACTGGAAATTCAGCAATACGTTAAACAAAAAAACTGAAATTTCAGCCCACACCTTCAAAAAAAAGCTGACAAATCAGCCCCACTAAATCCCCAGCACTGAAAACCTAACCTTTTTACCCCTAATCAGCCTTTTTTCGCTGACTTCTGAGGCCCTGAGCACAATGCCTCTTTATTGTACATGCACACAGCTAGCAGAGGGAGGCAGAGAGAGCAGGGCATGCAACATGTGATGTCTAGCAAAGGACCGTGCTGGCGTGAGCTGGGCGCACATGGAGGGGGGCAAAGCAGGCTTCGCTATGAGGGCCATGTGGGGGTGCGGCGGCCAAGCAGCAGGACCGTGGGTGTGGGAGTGGAAGAGTGCGCAGGGCTGTCAGAAGTTGCAGCAGCCTTGGCGGCAGCAGGTGGAGGGAAAGCGGCAGCAGTAGGGCTCTCCGCGCTGGTTCCTGCAGCACGACCCGGGGCGGCGCTCGCAGCACACCTTGCCGCCACAGCACGGGTAGTGGTGGAAGTCCTGGTGCAGGGGGGTTGGGGGGGGGGGGGGGGGGGGAGGGGAGGTGGAGGGGGAGAGGGGGGAACGAGGGGGAGAGGGGGGTGATGTGCGAGGTAGTGGGAGCATGGATAGCATTCAACCCAGGCAAGGAATTATAGGCGTGTGCTCTCAACATGCGTGCGTGCGTGCGTGCGTGAGTGAGTGAGTGAGTGAGTGAGTGAGTGCGTGCGTGCGTGCGCGTGCGTGCGTGCGTGTGTGTCTGTGTGTGTGTGTGTGTGTGTGTGTGTGTCGTATTTGTGTGCGTGTGCTTGTTCGTGTGCATGTCCATGCGCGTGTGCGACTGCGTGTGTGTGAGCGGGGAGCAAGCGAAGGGGGAATGCTGAAGGAATATATTAGAGAGCGTAGCGATAACGAGAGAGTTTCTGCTATGAGAATGATGTTGCGTCAGCAACTTGGTAGAGTTTCGGTAGAGTTTGCCTCTAAGGACTTAGTGAGGATTGAAGTAGCATTTGGGCCAAGTAGAATTGCAATATCAACTATGAATACAAAAACAAACACACAACTAGATATAGGCTACGGGAAGGTTTCACAAAGTTGGCGTGGCACTGCGCAGTAACCCAACCCCACGAAAGTGGTGTGTGGGTGAGCGAACGCGCCTCGTCAACTTCCCAACCCAACTCAGCAGGGAAGTCAATGCCGAGCTCGCCAATTCTCCCAGCACAACTAGAAATGGCGAGACTCACAGAGAATCACCCACAACCACCAAGACCACCCAAGAAGCATGCCCACGATTTCCCTAGACTAACACCACCCCAGCAATGACTGTTTAGTGCTGCCGTTGTCACATCGCGTCACTACGCAACCATCGCCATATCATAGGGTCGGTGCTGGACTGCTCGTCTTGGTCTTTCATAGTCGACCTGCCAAGTCAAACAGTCGTCGAGGGCCCTTGCTGTCGTAGGGCCCTCTAACACTCCCCTGCCATACTACAGCAAGGCCCTTTATAATCACAGGGCATGCATACACGCATACACGCCAAAACAAAGGGAGACACACACAAACGAAGCACTCTCAAAGTGCAAACACGCACCGCACCAGCCAAGGATAGGCCATGGCACCATCCACATCATGGAGTGTCTAGGTCTCACTCCCCTTGCTCGAGAGCCTCACCTGCCCCACAGCCTCGAAGCAACGACTGAAGGCGGGGAAATGCAATGCCTTCGTGAGGTAGTCAGCAGGCTGCTCGCTCGTAGGGATGTACTGCAGCTGCAGCTTCCTGCGCTTGACCATGTGCTGCAGCCACATGTGACGACGCTCCATGTGCTTGAGGCTCCCCTTGAGCCCCATGCCACCTGCCACTGAAATGGCAGAGGAGTTGTCCACAAAGAGAGTAGTGGGCTCCTCACTCCTCAGCAGTTGAAACTCTGCCAGCAGGAAGCGCAGCCTGCGCGCCTCCTTCCCAGCCTCCACAGCAGCAACATACTCAGACTCAGTGGAGGAGAGGGTGGCGCAACGAATCCTCTGGCTCGCCCAAGAGACAGCAGCACCCCCGAGCACGAAGATGTAGCCACCAGTGCTGGTCCTGTTCTGCTTGTCTCCCGCATCATCAGCATCGGCGTAGCCCACTAGCTCCAAGGACTCCGGCCCCCCACCAAACTCCAGCGCCACATCCCTGCTCCCCACCAAGTACGCCAAGCACCGGTCCAACTCCTTCCAGTGCTGATCACTCCGCACAGTCTGGCCCGACCCCAGCTTGCTGCAGGCGAACGAGATGTCGGGACGGGTGGTACAGGCCGCGAACTGCAAGGATCCCACCTTCTGCCTGTACTCCTCCTCCTGGCGAGACTGCCATCCCACATCCTCGAAGGTCTGCACACTGAAAGGGTCAGAGGAAAGAGGGGTGCGAGGCACTCGCAGCGGCTGCTCCCCGTCAAAGAAGCGCTTATGGACCTTGTCCACATAGGCCCCCTGGTGCAGCCACAGCCTCCTCGTAGGCCTGTCCCGAATCAGCTGCAACCCCATATATTTCTCCACGGGGCTAATCTCCCGCAGCTGAAAGGCACTCTGCAGCAGGTCACGCAGCTCCCCTAGCAAGCTCTGACTGCGGCTGGCAGCAAGTAGGTCATCCACATACACCAGCAGCCAGCACATCTCCCCCTCAGCATCACTCTTGAAGTACAGAGCCTCATCCACCTTGCTCTTCTTCCATCCAGCCCCAAGCAGCACCCCATCCAAGGCCTCATACCATAGCATCGGGCTCTGCTTGAGCCCATACAGACTCTTCACCAACTTACAGACACGAGGAGTCCCATCCTCGTAGTAGCTCGGCTGCTCCATGTAAAGGTCTCGGTCCAGCATGCCATGGAGGAACGCGTTCTTCACATCCAGCTGCATCAGGTCCAAATCAAGTGCAGCTGCAATTGCCAGAAGCACACGTGCCGTCACATAGCTTCACACGTCTCCTCATAGTCCACCCCTGCCACCTGCGTGAACCCCTTCACCACCAGCCTCGCCTTCTCACGCTCCACTATCCCATCCGGTCGGAACTTGGTGTTCAAAATCCAGCGGTTCTTCATCACATTCACCCCTGCCGGACGCGGAACCAACTCCACGTACCCTGCTCAATCAAGCTCCGCATCTCCTCATCCATCGCCTCCTTCACCTTGTCGCCCTTCCAGCAGCCTAAGGCCTCCTTCACTGTCATCTTCGCTATATCCCACTGCCTCTCAGGGTCAGCCACCACGTCAGGGTCCAGGTCTGTCCACTCCTCGTCCTCCTCCTCGTCATCCAATCCCGCTGGCTCAACCACTAAAGCCCAAGCATACTTAAGAGGCGGGATACCACGAGTGATGCGAGTGGAGCAACGCAGTGGCGCAGTGATCATCCCAGAGGCCAACACACGACCACCATCTCTAATTCCCCACATCTCCTGCTCCCCTGTCTGCGGCTCCCCTGTCTGCTGCTCCCCTAGCTGCTGGTCCACCATCTGCTGCTCCTCAATCCGCTCCTCCCCTATCTGCTGCTCCCCTGACTGCTGCTCCCCTATCTCCTGCCCCCCACTCTGCTGTACTCCATCCATACTGTGTTCGTCCTGCAGCTGCTCAGACTCAAGGCGCTGCCCGACGGTGATCTCCACAGACGGTGGCACCTCAATCCCCCCCTCACCAACGGGCGGCGCCGTGGAAGACGACGAGGAGGGCGGAGCAGGTGCAGGAGGGATGGAGGGTGGAAGGGGAGATGGAATAACAGGAGGAGGAGGGGGGGAAGCCAAGGGGGGTGAGGAGGAAGAAGGCGGGGCAGGGGGGATCACACGAGGGTAGACTGAAGGCGGAGGTGGGGTGGGGACTGAGGTAGGGACATAGGGCATAGCAGGAGGTGCGACCACCTCCTCCTCCTCCTCCGCCTCCTCGAGAGTGATTGGGAAGAGTGAGGGAAGGGGCGCATAGGGCATCGAACGCCCCCCATGCTCCTGCTGATGCCAAGCCTTCCATCCTGCCAGGGACATGGTCTCATAAAACACAGCTTCCACAGTGGTGATGAGGCGGTTGGACTCCAAGTCCAGCACGGTCCAGCCCTTGCTCGCAGCTGACACACCCAAGTGCAACCCCCAGCGAGCCTTAGGCGCCAGCTTCCCCCCACGCTGCGACTGTGGTACCATGTACTGCAGCATGCACCCCCAAACACGCACCATACTGACATCAGGTTTGCGTTGGAAGGCGAGCTCGTACGGCGTCACACCAGAGGGTAGTGAGGCGTGCTCCACGCGGTTGCGCACCCATACGGCCTGCGCCAACGCCAGGTGCCACCAGTGATGCTGCACACCCATGTGCAGCAACATCGTCCGCACCGCCTCCACAATGCTGCGCATCTCCCTCTCGGCCATCCCATTCTGCTCCGGCGTGTACGGGCATGTGAGGTCATGGATGATGCCTTTGCCGTCGAGGAAGAGCGTGAAGTCGTGCCCCAGGAACTCGCCACCCCGATCAGTGCGCAGCGCCTGCACCGTGGTCTTGCACTGTCGCTCTGCCATCGGGAGCCACTTCTGGAACGCCGCCAGCGCATCACTCTTCTGGGCCAAAGGGTAGGCCCAGACATATCGCGTCTTGCGATCCTTCAGCACCAAGAAGTAGCGGCTGCCGTCCTTAGCTGCTTCATGGAAAGGGCCACACAGGTCAGCATGCACCACCCCGAGCAACTCATCCTCCTCCTCTCCCACAGAAGGAAAGGTATGACGAGTGATCTTTCCCCCAACACAGGAGACACAAGGTATGCCTGACTTGCCCCCCTTCTCCAAATCCAAGCCCTTCACTGACCCGTGAGCCGCTGTGCGCTCGATGGCATCAATACCAACGTGTGCCATACGCGCATGCCACAGGTCCCCCTTAGACCGCACGCCCGTCGCCAAGGTACGAAGTGCCACCGTTTCGCCTTCCTGCTGCTGCGTCGAACACGGCTGGAAGTTCGTGCAGAGAACACGCCCCTTGAACTCCGCACGACCAAGGAGCGATCCATCTGGTGCCCGCAGCAAAGTCACATCCCCGGCATCCAGCAGCTGCACACCACTATCACGCAGCTGCCCAGCAGAGAGAAGACTCGCCTGCACTCCTGGTACGTACAGCACGTCCGGCACCAAGACACGCCTGCCCCCCTCTCCAAGAAGAGCGACTGTGCCTCGCCCCTGCACCTCCTGAAGGGCGCCGTTGAAGCCGGTAACCTGTTTAATACTGCCGCCGCTGCTCATCTCCACAAAGGCAGAACGATCTCCCATGAGATGGTGGGAGCATCCGCTATCAAGTAGCACGACACTCGGGTTCGCCTTTACAGCAGCTGCAACAGCCTGTAAGCCTTCTCCGGCCTCAGGCTCCAGCACAACGAGAGGAGTCTGCTCCACAACGGGCTTCACCATCGCACATGATGACTGCCCGCTCCCCTTAGAGCCATCACCCCCCTTTCCGCTGCTACCTCCAGAACCCACTTCACCAGCGTCTGCCTCCTTATCCGCCCGCTGCTGACAGTACTTAGCAACATGCCCTGTCTGTCCACACACATAGCACTTTCCCTTGAAGCCCCCTTTCCCCCCCTTCGGCTGGCCATCCTTACCCCCTTTCCACTTCTCCCCTCCCCCACCAGCCCCACCCCCATTCTTAGGCTGCTGCTGCTGTGCCGTAGTGGGAGGGGAAGGGAATGAAGTCTGCTGGAATTGGGGCTTACCCTTCTTGGTAAAGACCTGGTTAGCCTGGGGAAGGAATTGGTCCTTTCGTCCCTCTGCCGCCAGCGTACACTCCTCCTCGATGATGTAGCTAGCGAGGGTGTCTTCGTCCAACTCCTTGCGCACCTGCGGCAACTTCAGCATCCTGCGCAAGAGGTTGTACTGCTGCGGCAACCCCTTCACAACGTGAGTGATGTACGACGCCTGCGAGTAATCTACGCCGGCCATCCTCATGTTCACTAGGATCTGCTGCGCTCGGTTGCAATATGACGTAGCGGACTCGTGCTCTCCCATCTCGAGGTTAGTGAGCGCCTGCTCTAACTGACCGATGTACAGATCGTCCTTCGCCATATACGTGCGCATAATAAACTGCCATGCCTGATAGCCGGCATCTACCTTCATGCGACACGCCTTAAGGGCGATCTGTACGGTTGGGGAGCAGCATCGGGAAATGGTGGTGAACGTCAGCAACTGCATCGCGCGGAACTGGGAGAGATGCGCAAGTGCACGCGCAGGTGGAATGGGGGTGGTGCCATCTATGAATCGTTTTAGCTGAGCGATCTCAAGCTGCGGCTCGATTGATTCTGTCCACGTCGACAGGTCGTGACGTCCTTCTAACGGCCTAGGGACAACGATCTTGTCTGGAGTGAATCTGAAGTAGCCATAGTTGGGGGCTATTCCCTCGTCCCTCGACATCGATCCAATCGGGGTAACGCCCGGCATAGCCTCACTATCGTACTCTTCCGCATTTCCTCCTCCAGCAACGCTCCGCCGTCCTACATTCGCATGCTCTCGTGATGCTGCTGCACGATGAACACGCTCCTGTACACCGCCGACGCTAGACGTACTAAACCGAGTTGGTCCTCGCAGGACCCCACGCGACATCAACCCATCAAGCTCCTCGTCATCGCTATTTCCGCCATCGACGGCCATATCCCACGCACTAGTACCTCCCGCAGCTTGCTCAACATTCTCTACACGTGGCGAAGGGTGCTCACGACGCCGACGCGAGCGCAATCCCTCCAACATTAACTCGTATTCGATATCACTAATCTCACCACGAGAATGTCGAGCCACGAGATCCTCCTCTAGGGCGCGCAAATTACCGGCCTCCACGTTCGCCTCCTCCGTACTCATCCTCTACGACGTCTCTATAAGGTACCACAAATTAAAATAAATTGTCCCTTCCTTGAATCCCTCGTCTCGGGGTCACCTCACAAGGGTCCTCAGACGAATGGTAATAAATTACCAAGCGCCCTATCCTTGGGTCCGAGAACGTAACTGGAGGGAAATCAAGAGAGGTTCAACTTAAATTAATAAGCGCCCTTCACTAACGCCGCACGCCAAGGCGAGTATACGAACGCGGATATCAACGACGACGAAAATCTATGCGTGTTCGTTCCACGCTCACCGCACCATGAAGGAATATATTAGAGAGCGTAGCGATAACGAGAGAGTTTCTGCTATGAGAATGATGTTGCGTCAGCAACTTGGTAGAGTTTCGGTAGAGTTTGCCTCTAAGGACTTAGTGAGGATTGAAGTAGCAATTGGGCCAAGTAGAATTGCAATATCAACTATGAATACAAAAACAAACACACAACTAGATATAGGCTACGGGAAGGTTTCACAAAGTTGGCGTGGCACTGCGCAGTAACCCAACCCCACGAAAGTGGTGTGTGGGTGAGCGAACGCGCCTCGTCAACTTCCCAACCCAACTCAGCAGGGAAGTCAATGCCGAGCTCGCCAATTCTCCCAGCACAACTAGAAATGGCGAGACTCACAGAGAATCACCCACAACCACCAAGACCACCCAAGAAGCATGCCCACGATTTCCCTAGACTAACACCACCCCAGCAATGACTGTTTAGTGCTGCCGTTGTCACATCGCGTCACTACGCAACCATCGCCATATCATAGGGTCGGTGCTGGACTGCTCGTCTTGGTCTTTCATAGTCGACCTGCCAAGTCAAACGGTCGTCGAGGGCCCTTGCTGTCGTAGGGCCCTCTAACAAATGCGGGGGAGGGGAGGGAGCACGTACGATGCAGCAGGAGCCGTTGCAGAAGATCCGCGCGGGGCTGCACCCCGCCGTCCCCGCGAACTCGCAATGCCCCGCGCCAGGCGCGCACGTCAGCGACGGGAAGGTGGGGGGCGGCGGAGAGGTGGCGGGGCCAGACGGGGTGGTGGGAAAGGGCACAGATGGCGACGAAGACAGCCCGGATCTGTCGTGATCGTGAGAATGGTCGTCGCCATCGTCGCCACCGTTGCTATCGCCGTGGTCGTCGCCATCGTCGTCATGGTCGTCGCCATCGTCGTCATCGTCGTGCGACGAGTCGCCATTAACCTCGTCCTCCCCCTCCACGCTCCAATGCGCGCGCAACTTTCCCTGCGAGCGCAGCCGATCCGTGTATCCGCCGTCATCGCTGCTCCCCGCCCGCTCGTCGTCCTCCTCCAGCGCTCGTCCGCGCGCGACGGGCAGAGATGCGCGGGAGAGGGCGGGGCGGAAGAGGGCGGCGGCGAGGAGAGCGCAGAGCGCAAGCCCGGCGAACGAGAGGCGCCGCGCGGTCAGTGGCGACACGCAAAGAGGAGCCATGCGGGGATGGCAGTCGTGCGGAGTGGCGCAGGGGCGGGAATGGAGAGTTGACGCGGCGGAGCGGGTTGGCGCTGAGAGCAAGCGCGAGGAAGGCGAGCGCGATGAGGCGAGCGGCAGCAGAGGTCTGGAATGGTGGAAACGTGGAGGCCGAATGTGGTGAAGGAGTTTTGCACGGCTATGTACAGATCGGGACTATGCACAGCTGTGGTGTGGAGGGAAGGCTGCCAGTACGGAATGGATTTGGACGATTTGCGCAGAGGGGTGGACGGATGGATGGGCAATGGCGGTGGTGCCTTGCCATGTGGATGAGGGGTGTGCTGCTGGATTGCTGTGGTTGGGCAATGGGCATTGAGGCGCGTTTAGCTTTTGGGCATTGCGGCGGCGCGTTGAAAAGATTCCTCCCAACTGAGATGCGGCTCGACCAGGTGAACCCGTGAGCGCCTCCAGGTTCGTGCCGAACGCATGGCTCTGGTTCGACAGGCTTGTGGGAGAAGCGCGAACTGAAGCTTCAGAGAAGCTCTCGAGCACAGTTCGAGGCGCTAACTGCCAAATGACTGGTTATTGCACTTTAGTTGCACAGGTCATTCTGATTTTCTCGAAACATTAACTCTCATCTCTAGATTTGGGAGATTAGTACAAACTGAATGCCCTTCCAATCTAATACTATATGGCTGGCTCTACTGAATATTTAGTTCTCTACTGCGAAATGATTGCAGGTTGCAACCATTCAGCGTTGTCGAAGAAGGCATGCGTAGTCATGGCAAAATACCAAAAGGCAGCAGTATATTTCTTTCTTGATTTGGAAAGCACATAAATTGGAACAGCCAGCACCTCACCACAAACTAGCACAACCAAAATACAGTAGCATGCATGTAGCAGCCGGTCACCAAATGTCTCTTAGATATCTACCCTGCTCCGCCAAACCATCCAGCAATGCTACTGCCTCCTCCTCCGCCATTTTCCCCTGCAGCACTCGCACAACCATGGAAACATGCACACACGGGCACACACATGGATGGATGAATCAATGAGTGTTGAGCAACCGCTGAAGCACAGCACAGAGCAGAAGAGCAGGCAGAGAAGGAGGAAAGGAACTAAAACTTGCGCACGTGGAGGGCATGGAAGCACAGCGCCCACCCACCTGCTCCACTGCCACTTCCAGCAGCGCGTGGTGCACGTCCCTGGCCATGGCCTTGGCATCGCCACACACGTACACACTGCCTCCCCCGCTCCCCACTGCCTGCCACACCCTCTCCGCCTGTGCCACCACAAGTGCACACACACACACACAGACACGCACACACGTTTCGGGAGGAGAAGCATGGTGAGGTGATAGGATAGGCATGGTGATGTGGCAACAAGTGAGCGAGCATGCATGGGCGAGCAGGTTCGGACGTACATAGAGTAAAACTGCTGCACACACCTGTTGCTTGAGCAGGTGTTGCACGTAGACCTTGGCGGGCCCGTCTCTAGAGAAGGCCACGTGCAGCGCTGATAGCACACCGCTCTCCTCGTAGGCTGCCAGCTCCTCGCGGTATATGTAGTCCTGTCGGGGGGGAGGGGGGCAAGCGAAGGGGGAATGCTGAAGGAATATATTAGAGAGCGTAGCGATAACGAGAGAGTTTCTGCTATGAGAATGATGTTGCGTCAGCAACTTGGTAGAGTTTCGGTAGAGTTTGCCTCTAAGGACTTAGTGAGGATTGAAGTAGCAATTGGGCCAAGTAGAATTGCAATATCAACTATGAATACAAAAACAAACACACAACTAGATATAGGCTACGGGAAGGTTTCACAAAGTTGGCGTGGCACTGCGCAGTAACCCAACCCCACGAAAGTGGTGTGTGGGTGAGCGAACGCGCCTCGTCAACTTCCCAACCCAACTCAGCAGGGAAGTCAATGCCGAGCTCGCCAATTCTCCCAGCACAACTAGAAATGGCGAGACTCACAGAGAATCACCCACAACCACCAAGACCACCCAAGAAGCATGCCCACGATTTCCCTAGACTAACACCACCCCAGCAATGACTGTTTAGTGCTGCCGTTGTCACATCGCGTCACTACGCAACCATCGCCATATCATAGGGTCGGTGCTGGACTGCTCGTCTTGGTCTTTCATAGTCGACCTGCCAAGTCAAACGGTCGTCGAGGGCCCTTGCTGTCGTAGGGCCCTCTAACAAATGCGGGGGAGGGGAGGGAGCACGTACGATGCAGCAGGAGCCGTTGCAGAAGATCCGCGCGGGGCTGCACCCCGCCGTCCCCGCGAACTCGCAATGCCCCGCGCCAGGCGCGCACGTCAGCGACGGGAAGGTGGGGGGCGGCGGAGAGGTGGCGGGGCCAGACGGGGTGGTGGGAAAGGGCACAGATGGCGACGAAGACAGCCCGGATCTGTCGTGATCGTGAGAATGGTCGTCGCCATCGTCGCCACCGTTGCTATCGCCGTGGTCGTCGCCATCGTCGTCATGGTCGTCGCCATCGTCGTCATCGTCGTGCGACGAGTCGCCATTAACCTCGTCCTCCCCCTCCACGCTCCAATGCGCGCGCAACTTTCCCTGCGAGCGCAGCCGATCCGTGTATCCGCCGTCATCGCTGCTCCCCGCCCGCTCGTCGTCCTCCTCCAGCGCTCGTCCGCGCGCGACGGGCAGAGATGCGCGGGAGAGGGCGGGGCGGAAGAGGGCGGCGGCGAGGAGAGCGCAGAGCGCAAGCCCGGCGAACGAGAGGCGCCGCGCGGTCAGTGGCGACACGCAAAGAGGAGCCATGCGGGGATGGCAGTCGTGCGGAGTGGCGCAGGGGCGGGAATGGAGAGTTGACGCGGCGGAGCGGGTTGGCGCTGAGAGCAAGCGCGAGGAAGGCGAGCGCGATGAGGCGAGCGGCAGCAGAGGTCTGGAATGGTGGAAACGTGGAGGCCGAATGTGGTGAAGGAGTTTTGCACGGCTATGTACAGATCGGGACTATGCACAGCTGTGGTGTGGAGGGAAGGCTGCCAGTACGGAATGGATTTGGACGATTTGCGCAGAGGGGTGGACGGATGGATGGGCAATGGCGGTGGTGCCTTGCCATGTGGATGAGGGGTGTGCTGCTGGATTGCTGTGGTTGGGCAATGGGCATTGAGGCGCGTTTAGCTTTTGGGCATTGCGGCGGCGCGTTGAAAAGATTCCTCCCAACTGAGATGCGGCTCGACCAGGTGAACCCGTGAGCGCCTCCAGGTTCGTGCCGAACGCATGGCTCTGGTTCGACAGGCTTGTGGGAGAAGCGCGAACTGAAGCTTCAGAGAAGCTCTCGAGCACAGTTCGAGGCGCTAACTGCCAAATGACTGGTTATTGCACTTTAGTTGCACAGGTCATTCTGATTTTCTCGAAACATTAACTCTCATCTCTAGATTTGGGAGATTAGTACAAACTGAATGCCCTTCCAATCTAATACTATATGGCTGGCTCTACTGAATATTTAGTTCTCTACTGCGAAATGATTGCAGGTTGCAACCATTCAGCGTTGTCGAAGAAGGCATGCGTAGTCATGGCAAAATACCAAAAGGCAGCAGTATATTTCTTTCTTGATTTGGAAAGCACATAAATTGGAACAGCCAGCACCTCACCACAAACTAGCACAACCAAAATACAGTAGCATGCATGTAGCAGCCGGTCACCAAATGTCTCTTAGATATCTACCCTGCTCCGCCAAACCATCCAGCAATGCTACTGCCTCCTCCTCCGCCATTTTCCCCTGCAGCACTCGCACAACCATGGAAACATGCACACACGGGCACACACATGGATGGATGAATCAATGAGTGTTGAGCAACCGCTGAAGCACAGCACAGAGCAGAAGAGCAGGCAGAGAAGGAGGAAAGGAACTAAAACTTGCGCACGTGGAGGGCATGGAAGCACAGCGCCCACCCACCTGCTCCACTGCCACTTCCAGCAGCGCGTGGTGCACGTCCCTGGCCATGGCCTTGGCATCGCCACACACGTACACACTGCCTCCCCCGCTCCCCACTGCCTGCCACACCCTCTCCGCCTGTGCCACCACAAGTGCACACACACACACACAGACACGCACACACGTTTCGGGAGGAGAAGCATGGTGAGGTGATAGGATAGGCATGGTGATGTGGCAACAAGTGAGCGAGCATGCATGGGCGAGCAGGTTCGGACGTACACAGAGTAAAACTGCTGCACACACCTGTTGCTTGAGCAGGTGTTGCACGTAGACCTTGGCGGGCCCGTCTCTAGAGAAGGCCACGTGCAGCGCTGATAGCACACCGCTCTCCTCGTAGGCTGCCAGCTCCTCGCGGTATATGTAGTCCTGTCGGGGGGGAGGGGGGCAAGCGAAGGGGGAATGCTGAAGGAATATATTAGAGAGCGTAGCGATAACGAGAGAGTTTCTGCTATGAGAATGATGTTGCGTCAGCAACTTGGTAGAGTTTCGGTAGAGTTTGCCTCTAAGGACTTAGTGAGGATTGAAGTAGCAATTGGGCCAAGTAGAATTGCAATATCAACTATGAATACAAAAACAAACACACAACTAGATATAGGCTACGGGAAGGTTTCACAAAGTTGGCGTGGCACTGCGCAGTAACCCAACCCCACGAAAGTGGTGTGTGGGTGAGCGAACGCGCCTCGTCAACTTCCCAACCCAACTCAGCAGGGAAGTCAATGCCGAGCTCGCCAATTCTCCCAGCACAACTAGAAATGGCGAGACTCACAGAGAATCACCCACAACCACCAAGACCACCCAAGAAGCATGCCCACGATTTCCCTAGACTAACACCACCCCAGCAATGACTGTTTAGTGCTGCCGTTGTCACATCGCGTCACTACGCAACCATCGCCATATCATAGGGTCGGTGCTGGACTGCTCGTCTTGGTCTTTCATAGTCGACCTGCCAAGTCAAACGGTCGTCGAGGGCCCTTGCTGTCGTAGGGCCCTCTAACAAATGCGGGGGAGGGGAGGGAGCACGTACGATGCAGCAGGAGCCGTTGCAGAAGATCCGCGCGGGGCTGCACCCCGCCGTCCCCGCGAACTCGCAATGCCCCGCGCCAGGCGCGCACGTCAGCGACGGGAAGGTGGGGGGCGGCGGAGAGGTGGCGGGGCCAGACGGGGTGGTGGGAAAGGGCACAGATGGCGACGAAGACAGCCCGGATCTGTCGTGATCGTGAGAATGGTCGTCGCCATCGTCGCCACCGTTGCTATCGCCGTGGTCGTCGCCATCGTCGTCATGGTCGTCGCCATCGTCGTCATCGTCGTGCGACGAGTCGCCATTAACCTCGTCCTCCCCCTCCACGCTCCAATGCGCGCGCAACTTTCCCTGCGAGCGCAGCCGATCCGTGTATCCGCCGTCATCGCTGCTCCCCGCCCGCTCGTCGTCCTCCTCCAGCGCTCGTCCGCGCGCGACGGGCAGAGATGCGCGGGAGAGGGCGGGGCGGAAGAGGGCGGCGGCGAGGAGAGCGCAGAGCGCAAGCCCGGCGAACGAGAGGCGCCGCGCGGTCAGTGGCGACACGCAAAGAGGAGCCATGCGGGGATGGCAGTCGTGCGGAGTGGCGCAGGGGCGGGAATGGAGAGTTGACGCGGCGGAGCGGGTTGGCGCTGAGAGCAAGCGCGAGGAAGGCGAGCGCGATGAGGCGAGCGGCAGCAGAGGTCTGGAATGGTGGAAACGTGGAGGCCGAATGTGGTGAAGGAGTTTTGCACGGCTATGTACAGATCGGGACTATGCACAGCTGTGGTGTGGAGGGAAGGCTGCCAGTACGGAATGGATTTGGACGATTTGCGCAGAGGGGTGGACGGATGGATGGGCAATGGCGGTGGTGCCTTGCCATGTGGATGAGGGGTGTGCTGCTGGATTGCTGTGGTTGGGCAATGGGCATTGAGGCGCGTTTAGCTTTTGGGCATTGCGGCGGCGCGTTGAAAAGATTCCTCCCAACTGAGATGCGGCTCGACCAGGTGAACCCGTGAGCGCCTCCAGGTTCGTGCCGAACGCATGGCTCTGGTTCGACAGGCTTGTGGGAGAAGCGCGAACTGAAGCTTCAGAGAAGCTCTCGAGCACAGTTCGAGGCGCTAACTGCCAAATGACTGGTTATTGCACTTTAGTTGCACAGGTCATTCTGATTTTCTCGAAACATTAACTCTCATCTCTAGATTTGGGAGATTAGTACAAACTGAATGCCCTTCCAATCTAATACTATATGGCTGGCTCTACTGAATATTTAGTTCTCTACTGCGAAATGATTGCAGGTTGCAACCATTCAGCGTTGTCGAAGAAGGCATGCGTAGTCATGGCAAAATACCAAAAGGCAGCAGTATATTTCTTTCTTGATTTGGAAAGCACATAAATTGGAACAGCCAGCACCTCACCACAAACTAGCACAACCAAAATACAGTAGCATGCATGTAGCAGCCGGTCACCAAATGTCTCTTAGATATCTACCCTGCTCCGCCAAACCATCCAGCAATGCTACTGCCTCCTCCTCCGCCATTTTCCCCTGCAGCACTCGCACAACCATGGAAACATGCACACACGGGCACACACATGGATGGATGAATCAATGAGTGTTGAGCAACCGCTGAAGCACAGCACAGAGCAGAAGAGCAGGCAGAGAAGGAGGAAAGGAACTAAAACTTGCGCACGTGGAGGGCATGGAAGCACAGCGCCCACCCACCTGCTCCACTGCCACTTCCAGCAGCGCGTGGTGCACGTCCCTGGCCATGGCCTTGGCATCGCCACACACGTACACACTGCCTCCCCCGCTCCCCACTGCCTGCCACACCCTCTCCGCCTGTGCCACCACAAGTGCACACACACACACACAGACACGCACACACGTTTCGGGAGGAGAAGCATGGTGAGGTGATAGGATAGGCATGGTGATGTGGCAACAAGTGAGCGAGCATGCATGGGCGAGCAGGTTCGGACGTACATAGAGTAAAACTGCTGCACACACCTGTTGCTTGAGCAGGTGTTGCACGTAGACCTTGGCGGGCCCGTCTCTAGAGAAGGCCACGTGCAGCGCTGATAGCACACCGCTCTCCTCGTAGGCTGCCAGCTCCTCGCGGTATATGTAGTCCTGTCGGGGGGGAGGGGGGGGGTGAAGAGGGGAGGTGGAGGGTGCACAGGATTTGAGAAATGGATTGACTGAGCTATTGTACGTGCACACAAGTTGGTGCAAAAATGGCGCACACGTAAAGATGAAAGGAACGCCTGAAGATGGAACACGCCAACACTCACTCCCATCTTTTCCTGCTCCCTCCCCCATTCCCTCCCACAATCCCTCCCCCACTCCCTCCCCCATTCCCTCCCTCACTCCCTCCCCCACTCCCTCCCCCATTCCCTCCCTCACTCCGTCCCCCCCTCCCTCCCCCATTCCCTCCCTCACTCCCTCCCCCACTCCCTCCCCCATTCCCTCCCACAACCCCTCCCCCACTCCCTCCCCCATTCCCTCCCTCACTCCCTCCCCCACTCCCTCCCCCATTCCCTCCCTCACTCCCTCCCCCACTCCCTCCCCCATTCCCTCCCTCACTCCGTCCCCCCCTCCCTCCCCCATTCCCTCCCTCACTCCCTCCCCCACTCCCTCCCCCATTCCCTCCCACAATCCCTCCCCCACTCCCTCCCCCATTCCCTCCCTCACTCCCTCCCCCACTCCCTCCCCCATTCCCTCCCTCACTCCCTCCCCCACTCCCTCCCCCATTCCCTCCCTCACTCCCTCCCCCACTCCCTCCCCCATTCCCTCCCTCACTCCGTCCTCCCCTCCCTCCCTCATTCCCTCCCTCACTCCCTTTCCCACTCTCTCCCCCACTCCTTCCCTCACGACCTCAACCACTGCACCACCCACTGCACTTGCCACTGTCCCCCCAACTGGGCGCTCCGATTATATCCTGCCTCCCCCCACCCCCATGCGTGCCTCCCTCCCCTGCTTGCCGCCCCCTGGCAGCACCTGGTCGCGGTGCCGGCACCCAAAGAACAGAAGAGCCTCCCCCAGCTGCTGCCCGTCCCGCTGCATCAACGCACGGTGCTGCGGAGGGAGCGGGGGAAGAAAAGGGGGGGGGGGGGTTGGGGGAAGGGAGCATATGAAGAGGGAGGAGTGGAGGCGAGGAGGATGCGGAAGAAGAACGGAGTGCGATGCTGTGACTTGGCAGCCCAGTCACAGCAATCCCGTCAGAGACAGCCTGCGGTGCAGTGCGGTGCCAGGGGTGCCAGGGGTGCCAGGGGTGCCAGGGGTGGCAGGAGTGGCAGGGGTGCCAGGGGTGGCAGGGGTTGTGGCATGAGCATGGATTGACAGCAGGCACATGCGGGCTGGTGGAGGGCACAGTGGCACGTGAAAGACGGCAGGGGGTGGCAGCCCACCTGCAGGAAGGCTCTGAAGGGCGCGAGGCCGGTGCCGGGGCCAACCATCACGATGGGGCGAGCGGGGTCGGCGGGTGGGCGGAAGTGCGACGAGCGGATGAACGCCGGTAGCAGCACGGGGGGTGAGGGGTCGGGGGAAGGGGAGGTGGAGGAGGGGCTGGGCAGGGGGAGGTGGCGGTGGAGGAAGGAGGAGCAGACGCCGTGGTGTGTGCGGCCTGCTGGGGTGACGTCCCTCACCACCGCACACGTTATGTGCAGCGCGCCTGGATCGTGCCTGGGATGTTAGGGGGGTGAGGGGGTTGAGGGGGCAGAAAGGCAGGAGGTAGGGACGATGAGAAGTGGCAGCAGGCAGTGAAGGGGGGGATAAGCGGAAGCGCGGACGTGTGTGAAGGAGAGTGGAATCTCGGTAAAGAGCAAAGAGAGGAGGAGGGATTGGACGCAAGACACACAGAGAGGAGCATGAAACAATTTGGTTGGTGGAGATTGGTGGAGATTGGTGGAGATTGGTGGAGATTGGTGGAGATTGGTGGAGATTGGTGGAGATTGGTGGAGAGAGGATGAAATGATAAACGTGGGCCGTGAGGCAGGGTGCGGCAGAGCACTCACTTGGGATGGAATGTGGGGAGAGAGTGCACACCTGGGGTGGGAGGAGATGGAGTAGAAGCGTGGCTGCAGGCGAGGAGCAACGGAGGCAAGGAACACAGCGAGGGGCGGGCGAGCGGAGGGGAAGGCGTGCAGCACCTCGAGCAGTGACCGATGTGCCGCCGCCACCCACTCCCTGTACTCCTCCTTGCCCCCGCCGCTGGCCAGGTGCTTGAGGCGAGCTGCCTCATCGGGGTGGCAGGCAAAGCGCGCCAACACTGCCAGCGCTGCCTGGTGGGGCGAGGCCAGCGCAGTGGGTGGATGGTGTGGAAAAGGGGGGAGAGACGGAGGTCGCGTTAGGGCATGTGAAGGGAGGGACGACACCAGGTGCGCAGGGAAAGAGGGGCGGGTGGCACTGCTGGGCACAGCTTGCAGCAAGCAGCAACAGATTGAGAAGCACAGAAAGGGAAGCTTGCACAAGAGAGGGGCGGTAGAGCAAGGAGGGGTACCTTGCGGGGCGAGGAGTGGAGGTCAGGCAGCGAGGCGAGCACGGAGCGGATGGAGTGGCGGCCGGGAGGGGGCGGTGGCAGGGAGGAGGAGGGCGAGGGGAGGTGCAGGGAGATGACGTCATCCAGATTCAATCCCAGACACTTGGCCACTGCTGCCACGTCAGCATCGCTGTTCTCAGGAAACACTGCCACGTGGTCTCCCACCTCGTACCTGCATGGGATGACATGGGATGGGATGGTAGGGGATGGCATGGCACGGGATGGCATGGCACATGATGGCATGGCATGGGATGGCAGGAATGCGGATGGAAGGTATGGGGACGAGCATGTGGCGGAAACGGAAGGCACAGGTCTGAGTGAGACGAGCAACGAGGGGTGTGGCGCATGGGTGGTGGTTGCAGTGGCAAGTGGTTGGTTGCAGTGGCAAGTGGTTGGTTGCAGTGGCAAGTGGTTGGTTGCAGTGGCAAGTGGTTGGTTGCAGTGGCAAGTGGTTGGTTGCAGTGGCAAGTGGTTGGTTGCAGTGGCAAGTGGTTGGTTGCAGTGGCAAGTGGTTGGTTGCAGTGGCAAGTGGTTGGTTGCAGTGGCAAGTGGTTGGTTGCAGTGGCAAGTGGTTGGTTGCAGTGGCAAGTGGTTGGTTGCAGTGGCAAGTGGTTGGTTGCAGTGGCAAGTGGTTGGTTGCAGTGGCAAGTGGTTGGTTGCAGTGGCAAGTGGTTGGTTGCAGGGGTGGGTGAAGGCGAGCGTACTGCAGGTGAGGGCAGGGCGAGAGGTCGAGCTCCACATGCAGTGTGGATCGGTGTGAGTTGGGCGCTTGCAGCTCCTTCACCACTGCCACCCGCGCCCTGCCATGCACACATGCCATGCACACATGCCACACACATGCCACACACATGCCGCACACATGCCACACACATGCCACACACATGCCACACACATGCCGCACACATGCCACACACATGCCGCACACATGCCGCACACATGCCACACACATGCCGCACACATGCCACACACATGCCACACACATGCCACACACATGCCGCACACATGCCACACACATGCCGCACACATGCCAGCAGATGACAGCCCAGGTAATGCAAAGAGACGAAGGAGAGTGGTGCTGGAAAGGGCTGCAGGCATTTAATCCAACACACAGCTGGGAGCGGCTTTGGTCACAAGACTCACATTTTCACCATTGCATATAACCGAATTTGCCTAGTTTGGGTGTACAAATTGACCAGTGGGGCCCAAAATTGTTGAGTAGAATCCCATGCAACCCCATATGCCGTTCTCACTATTTATCTCAGTATGCAACAACCCTCACCTGCCAATGCTGTGCGAGTGCCACCCGACTGCCGCAATCGCCTCCCCCATGCTCATCTGCTCCTCCTCCTCCCCACCATTCATATGCCCCCCCACGCCATTCACCTCCTTCCCTCCACCATTCACCTCCCCATGCACCTCCCCATTCAGCACCCCATTGAGCACCCCATGCACTTCCCCATTGAGCACCCCATTCTCCCCAGCAGCCCCAGCCTGCCCACCCCTGCTGTGGAACCTGACTTGGTACTCCAGCACCTCCTCCTCCTCCTCCTCCCACTCCCCCGCTGCCCCCTCTCCCTCCTGCCCCTCGCCCCCGGCTCCCCGACCCAGCACGAGCGACTCAAATCCCTTCCACAGCCCCGTCCGCCTGCCAGCCATGCACACGCAGGGATGAGTGGGTGCAAGGGGTGAGAGGGGACGAGGTGGGTGAGAGGGAACGAGGTGGGTGAGTGGGGGCCAGGGGAGTGAGGCACGGAGTGCAGCGGGGATGGGGCAGGAGGGGCGCAGGAGGGGTGAGGCAGGGGCAGTGCAGGGGGGGTGGGCGTCACCATGCCTTGAAGCCGTCCTCTATGCACTGGTCTGGTCGTCGTCACCCAACCCCACCTCCGCCACGTGTGAGAGGGGACATGGTGGGGTGAGGAAGGGAGGGTGCAGGGGGAGTGCAGGGGGAGTGCAGGGGGAGTGCAGGGGGAGTGCAGGGGGGGTGCACGGAGGGGGGGGGTGCAGTGGGTGGGGTGGGGGTGCACGGAGGGGGGGGGTGCAGGGGTTTTGCAGGCGGGGGGCCTCACCACGCTTTGAAGTCGTCCTCTATGCACTGGTCGTCGTCTCCCAACCCCACCTCCGCCACACCACCTGTGAGAGGAGACATGGTGGGGTGAGGCAGCGGAGATGCAGGGGGGGGCGTGCAGGGGGCGTGCAGGGGGGCCTCACCATGCTTTGAAGTCGTCCTCTATGCACTGGTCGTCGTCTCCCAGCCCCACCTCCGCCACGCGCTGCCCGCCTGCCAGCCCATTGGCACACGTGGATGGATGATGGGAGGGTGATGGTTGGGGGAGCAGAGAGCAGAGAGGCTGGTGGGGTGGGGAACAGGGACTGAAGCAGAATGATTGCTTGCACGGCGCATGAGGAGAAGGAAGCAGCGGCAGCAAGGGAGGGCAGGGAGGGCAGGGAGGGCATGGGATAGCAGGGAGGGCATGGGATAGCAGCATACCTAGAGCAGCGAGGTGCTTGTCAAGCATCTTGCCCATCTGCACCGCCACACACACACACAGCAATGGGGGTGGGCAGGGAAAAGAGAGCGTTGGAACACGAGGCGGTGGGAAGTAAAAAGGTGAAAATCGGGTGGCACGGGTGGGAAGGGGGAAAGGAACGCGAGTGGAGAGGGAGGTGGACGGACGTATGGCGATGATAATGGATGGGGGAACGGCCACGCGCGAGCAGTGATGTTGAAGGACGAGACAGCAAAGCAGGATGCTGTACCGCTTCACAACGTGTTGGCTGGCATGGCAGCAGAAGCTAAGGTGGGGCAAGGTGGGGCATGACAGTGGCATACCAAGTTGAAGTGCTCGTACTGCCGATTGCCCAGCCCAAAGACAGCAAAGCGCAGCCCCTGCAGCGGCAAGGGGCTGTCGTCCTGGTGGGGAGAAGAGGAGGTGCAGGCGGGACGCATGGGGGCTGATGCATTCACTTCACAGAGGGATGGCAGCAGGAAGAGAGCAGAGCATAGCAGTAGGAAGAGAGCAGAGCATAGCAGCAGGAAGAGAGCAGAGCATGGCAGCAGGAAGAGAGCAGAGCATAGCAGCAGGAAGAGAGCAGAGCATAGCAGCAGGAAGAGAGCAGAGCATGGCAGCAGGAAGAGAGCAGAGCATAGCAGCAGGAAGAGAGCAGAGCATATCAGCAAGCAGTGATGAATGCCAGCATGCATGAGCGGCTTTCAGCCTCTGCAGCGGTGCGTACCTCAGCCTGTGCATCAGCAGCGGTGCGTACCTCAGCCTCTGCATCAGCAGCGGTGCGTACCTCAGCCTGTGCATCAGCAGCGGTGCGTACCTCAGCCTCTGCATCAGCAGCGGTGCGTACCTCAGCCTGTGCATCAGCAGCGGTGGCGTGCACCCATTTGAAGAAGCGCTGCGCATCGTCCGTTGGCTCGCCATCACCGTACCTGCGGGGAGGCAGGGAGCGTGGCTTGAGATGTGGAGCAGAGAGAATGCGGCTGGCGTGTGTGGCGCGGGGGAAGCGATAGCAGCATGGAGATGAGCTGGCAGCAGCAAGAAGAGCAGCAGAGCACAGCGGTGTGCAGAGGAGCAGCGAGCAGAGCAGAGCAGGGGGAAGGGGCAGCTCACGTGGCGACGAGGAAGAAGGCGGCGTGGAAGGCGTTGAGCTTCGCTGTGAAGGCATCGCTGTCCTCCGCTAGATCATCCTGCCATGGGCGCGTGGACGCACAGGGGCATGGCGGCACGGGGGGTATTGCCGCGCACACAGCGAGGGGTTGGATGCATGCATGCATGAAGCAGCATGAGCAAGCATCCATACGTTGTGACGGGGAACGGGCGCATGTGAAGGCATGGACGCATGGGAGCATGTGAAGGCATGGACGCATGGGAGCATGTGAAGGCATGGACGCATGGGAGCATGTGAAGGCATGGACGCATGGGAGCATGTGAAGGCATGGACGCATGGGAGCATGTGAAGGCATGGACGCATGGGAGCATGTGAAGGCATGGACGCATGGGAGCATGTGAAGGCATGGACGCATGGGAGCATGTGAAGGCATGGACGCATGGGAGCATGTGAAGGCATGGACGCATGGGAGCATGTGAAGGCATGGACGCATGGGAGCATGTGAAGGCATGGACGCATGGGAGCATGTGAAGGCATGGACGCATGGGAGCATGTGAAGGCATGGACGCATGGGAGCATGTGAAGGCATGGACGCATGGGAGCATGTGAAGGCATGGACGCATGGGAGCATGTGAAGGCATGGACGCATGGGAGCATGTGAAGGCATGGACGCATGGGAGCATGTGAAGGCATGGACGCATGGGAGCATGTGAAGGCATGGACGCATGGGAGCATGTGAAGGCATGGACGCATGGGAGCATGTGAAGGCATGGACGCATGGGAGCATGTGAAGGCATGGACGCATGGGAGCATGTGAAGGCATGGACGCATGGGAGCATGTGAAGGCATGGACGCATGGGAGCATGTGAAGGCATGGACGCATGGGAGCATGTGAAGGCATGGACGCATGGGAGCATGTGAAGGCATGGACGCATGGGAGCATGTGAAGGCATGGACGCATGGGAGCATGTGAAGGCATGGACGCATGGGAGCATGTGAAGGCATGGACGCATGGGAGCATGTGAAGGCATGGACGCATGGGAGCATGTGAAGGCATGGACGCATGGGAGCATGTGAAGGCATGGACGCATGGGAGCATGTGAAGGCATGGACGCATGGGAGCATGTGAAGGCATGGACGCATGGGAGCATGTGAAGGCATGGACGCATGGGAGCATGTGAAGGCATGGACGCATGGGAGCATGTGAAGGCATGGACGCATGGGAGCATGTGAAGGCATGGACGCATGGGAGCATGTGAAGGCATGGACGCATGGGAGCATGTGAAGGCATGGACGCATGGGAGCATGTGAAGGCATGGACGCATGGGAGCATGTGAAGGCATGGACGCATGGGAGCATGTGAAGGCATGGACGCATGGGAGCATGTGAAGGCATGGACGCATGGGAGCATGTGAAGGCATGGACGCATGGGAGCATGTGAAGGCATGGACGCATGGGAGCATGTGAAGGCATGGACGCATGGGAGCATGTGAAGGCATGGACGCATGGGAGCATGTGAAGGCATGGACGCATGGGAGCATGTGAAGGCATGGACGCATGGGAGCATGTGAAGGCATGGACGCATGGGAGCATGTGAAGGCATGGACGCATGGGAGCATGTGAAGGCATGGACGCATGGGAGCATGTGAAGGCATGGACGCATGGGAGCATGTGAAGGCATGGACGCATGGGAGCATGTGAAGGCATGGACGCATGGGAGCATGTGAAGGCATGGACGCATGGGAGCATGTGAAGGCATGGACGCATGGGAGCATGTGAAGGCATGGACGCATGGGAGCATGTGAAGGCATGGACGCATGGGAGCATGTGAAGGCATGGACGCATGGGAGCATGTGAAGGCATGGACGCATGGGAGCATGTGAAGGCATGGACGCATGGGAGCATGTGAAGGCATGGACGCATGGGAGCATGTGAAGGCATGGACGCATGGGAGCATGTGAAGGCATGGACGCATGGGAGCATGTGAAGGCATGGACGCATGGGAGCATGTGAAGGCATGGACGCATGGGAGCATGTGAAGGCATGGACGCATGGGAGCATGTGAAGGCATGGACGCATGGGAGCATGTGAAGGCATGGACGCATGGGAGCATGTGAAGGCATGGACGCATGGGAGCATGTGAAGGCATGGACGCATGGGAGCATGTGAAGGCATGGACGCATGGGAGCATGTGAAGGCATGGACGCATGGGAGCATGTGAAGGCATGGACGCATGGGAGCATGTGAAGGCATGGACGCATGGGAGCATGTGAAGGCATGGACGCATGGGAGCATGTGAAGGCATGGACGCATGGGAGCATGTGAAGGCATGGACGCATGGGAGCATGTGAAGGCATGGACGCATGGGAGCATGTGAAGGCATGGACGCATGGGAGCATGTGAAGGCATGGACGCATGGGAGCATGTGAAGGCATGGACGCATGGGAGCATGTGAAGGCATGGACGCATGGGAGCATGTGAAGGCATGGACGCATGGGAGCATGTGAAGGCATGGACGCATGGGAGCATGTGAAGGCATGGACGCATGGGAGCATGTGAAGGCATGGACGCATGGGAGCATGTGAAGGCATGGACGCATGGGAGCATGTGAAGGCATGGACGCATGGGAGCATGTGAAGGCATGGACGCATGGGAGCATGTGAAGGCATGGACGCATGGGAGCATGTGAAGGCATGGACGCATGGGAGCATGTGAAGGCATGGACGCATGGGAGCATGTGAAGGCATGGACGCATGGGAGCATGTGAAGGCATGGACGCATGGGAGCATGTGAAGGCATGGACGCATGGGAGCATGTGAAGGCATGGACGCATGGGAGCATGTGAAGGCATGGACGCATGGGAGCATGTGAAGGCATGGACGCATGGGAGCATGTGAAGGCATGGACGCATGGGAGCATGTGAAGGCATGGACGCATGGGAGCATGTGAAGGCATGGACGCATGGGAGCATGTGAAGGCATGGACGCATGGGAGCATGTGAAGGCATGGACGCATGGGAGCATGTGAAGGCATGGACGCATGGGAGCATGTGAAGGCATGGACGCATGGGAGCATGTGAAGGCATGGACGCATGGGAGCATGTGAAGGCATGGACGCATGGGAGCATGTGAAGGCATGGACGCATGGGAGCATGTGAAGGCATGGACGCATGGGAGCATGTGAAGGCATGGACGCATGGGAGCATGTGAAGGCATGGACGCATGGGAGCATGTGAAGGCATGGACGCATGGGAGCATGTGAAGGCATGGACGCATGGGAGCATGTGAAGGCATGGACGCATGGGAGCATGTGAAGGCATGGACGCATGGGAGCATGTGAAGGCATGGACGCATGGGAGCATGTGAAGGCATGGACGCATGGGAGCATGTGAAGGCATGGACGCATGGGAGCATGTGAAGGCATGGACGCATGGGAGCATGTGAAGGCATGGACGCATGGGAGCATGTGAAGGCATGGACGCATGGGAGCATGTGAAGGCATGGACGCATGGGAGCATGTGAAGGCATGGACGCATGGGAGCATGTGAAGGCATGGACGCATGGGAGCATGTGAAGGCATGGACGCATGGGAGCATGTGAAGGCATGGACGCATGGGAGCATGTGAAGGCATGGACGCATGGGAGCATGTGAAGGCATGGACGCATGGGAGCATGTGAAGGCATGGACGCATGGGAGCATGTGAAGGCATGGACGCATGGGAGCATGTGAAGGCATGGACGCATGGGAGCATGTGAAGGCATGGACGCATGGGAGCATGTGAAGGCATGGACGCATGGGAGCATGTGAAGGCATGGACGCATGGGAGCATGTGAAGGCATGGACGCATGGGAGCATGTGAAGGCATGGACGCATGGGAGCATGTGAAGGCATGGACGCATGGGAGCATGTGAAGGCATGGACGCATGGGAGCATGTGAAGGCATGGACGCATGGGAGCATGTGAAGGCATGGACGCATGGGAGCATGTGAAGGCATGGACGCATGGGAGCATGTGAAGGCATGGACGCATGGGAGCATGTGAAGGCATGGACGCATGGGAGCATGTGAAGGCATGGACGCATGGGAGCATGTGAAGGCATGGACGCATGGGAGCATGTGAAGGCATGGACGCATGGGAGCATGTGAAGGCATGGACGCATGGGAGCATGTGAAGGCATGGACGCATGGGAGCATGTGAAGGCATGGACGCATGGGAGCATGTGAAGGCATGGACGCATGGGAGCATGTGAAGGCATGGACGCATGGGAGCATGTGAAGGCATGGACGCATGGGAGCATGTGAAGGCATGGACGCATGGGAGCATGTGAAGGCATGGACGCATGGGAGCATGTGAAGGCATGGACGCATGGGAGCATGTGAAGGCATGGACGCATGGGAGCATGTGAAGGCATGGACGCATGGGAGCATGTGAAGGCATGGACGCATGGGAGCATGTGAAGGCATGGACGCATGGGAGCATGTGAAGGCATGGACGCATGGGAGCATGTGAAGGCATGGACGCATGGGAGCATGTGAAGGCATGGACGCATGGGAGCATGTGAAGGCATGGACGCATGGGAGCATGTGAAGGCATGGACGCATGGGAGCATGTGAAGGCATGGACGCATGGGAGCATGTGAAGGCATGGACGCATGGGAGCATGTGAAGGCATGGACGCATGGGAGCATGTGAAGGCATGGACGCATGGGAGCATGTGAAGGCATGGACGCATGGGAGCATGTGAAGGCATGGACGCATGGGAGCATGTGAAGGCATGGACGCATGGGAGCATGTGAAGGCATGGACGCATGGGAGCATGTGAAGGCATGGACGCATGGGAGCATGTGAAGGCATGGACGCATGGGAGCATGTGAAGGCATGGACGCATGGGAGCATGTGAAGGCATGGACGCATGGGAGCATGTGAAGGCATGGACGCATGGGAGCATGTGAAGGCATGGACGCATGGGAGCATGTGAAGGCATGGACGCATGGGAGCATGTGAAGGCATGGACGCATGGGAGCATGTGAAGGCATGGACGCATGGGAGCATGTGAAGGCATGGACGCATGGGAGCATGTGAAGGCATGGACGCATGGGAGCATGTGAAGGCATGGACGCATGGGAGCATGTGAAGGCATGGACGCATGGGAGCATGTGAAGGCATGGACGCATGGGAGCATGTGAAGGCATGGACGCATGGGAGCATGTGAAGGCATGGACGCATGGGAGCATGTGAAGGCATGGACGCATGGGAGCATGTGAAGGCATGGACGCATGGGAGCATGTGAAGGCATGGACGCATGGGAGCATGTGAAGGCATGGACGCATGGGAGCATGTGAAGGCATGGACGCATGGGAGCATGTGAAGGCATGGACGCATGGGAGCATGTGAAGGCATGGACGCATGGGAGCATGTGAAGGCATGGACGCATGGGAGCATGTGAAGGCATGGACGCATGGGAGCATGTGAAGGCATGGACGCATGGGAGCATGTGAAGGCATGGACGCATGGGAGCATGTGAAGGCATGGACGCATGGGAGCATGTGAAGGCATGGACGCATGGGAGCATGTGAAGGCATGGACGCATGGGAGCATGTGAAGGCATGGACGCATGGGAGCATGTGAAGGCATGGACGCATGGGAGCATGTGAAGGCATGGACGCATGGGAGCATGTGAAGGCATGGACGCATGGGAGCATGTGAAGGCATGGACGCATGGGAGCATGTGAAGGCATGGACGCATGGGAGCATGTGAAGGCATGGACGCATGGGAGCATGTGAAGGCATGGACGCATGGGAGCATGTGAAGGCATGGACGCATGGGAGCATGTGAAGGCATGGACGCATGGGAGCATGTGAAGGCATGGACGCATGGGAGCATGTGAAGGCATGGACGCATGGGAGCATGTGAAGGCATGGACGCATGGGAGCATGTGAAGGCATGGACGCATGGGAGCATGTGAAGGCATGGACGCATGGGAGCATGTGAAGGCATGGACGCATGGGAGCATGTGAAGGCATGGACGCATGGGAGCATGTGAAGGCATGGACGCATGGGAGCATGTGAAGGCATGGACGCATGGGAGCATGGGAGGCGTGGTGGCATGCAGCGAGCGAGAGTGCGCGCTGCTTCACTCAGAGGATCAACACACGCCCGCCCACAAACGCACCAGACTGCTGAGCTCCACGGTGCAGTGCGGTGCGAAGTGGTGCTGCAGCTCTGACACGAGCGTCTGCAAGGGCGACGAGGGGCATGGGTTGAGGGACGGCGGGAGGGGCAGGGAGCGGGTGAGAAACGAGGGGGAATGGCGAGGCGGCCAGAGGGGGTGGGTGAGGTGACAGAGAGGGGTGGTGAGGCGACGGGGGGGGGGGGGGGGGGGTGAGGAGCCAGAGAGTGGGGGGAAGAGGGGGGTGGAAAGATGTGAGGCGGCAGGAGAGAGGGGTGAGGTGGCAGGAGAGGGGTGGTGAGGCGGAAGGGATTAGCGCCAGCAGGGGGATGGTGAGGCGGAAGGGATGAGCGCCAACAGGGGGATGGTGAGGGGGAAGGGAGGGGATGAAGCAGTCGGCGAGGTATCTCGCGCAGCCACGCGACCCCGTTGTCGCCCGTTCTGTCGTGCCATCCCTTTCCCAGCCACCCCATTCAGCCGCGCATTGCATGCACGCGGCTCATCCAAGCGTGATCCCAATCCGCGCGCCCCAGCAAGCGCGCATCTCCTCCACGCGGCCCACCTTGGCGAATCCCTCGGACGTGCCCGTCTGCGTGCCGAACAGAATGCCGATCGCCACCTTCTCCTCGTCGCGCTCCGCCTTATCCCCCTCGCCCGCCCGCTCCTCGCCATTCGCCGCCACCGCCGCCGCTACATCCTTTGTAGCGAGCGGCTGATACTTGCTGCCGCCGCCGGGCGCCGCGCCGACCGGTGCGGTGGGCGGCGAGGCGGCGCGTTGGCGAAGCACGAAGAGCGCGAGCGACGACACGAGCACCGCCAGCGACACGAGCGCCACGAGCGCCGGCGTGGGGCCGGCGGCGAGCGCGGCCGTGGCGTCGGGAGCGGCGGCGTGCATCGACTCCGCCAGGTGGTCCGCCGCCATCGCCGCTGCGCTGCCGTCGCCGATCATGCTGACGCGGCGACTATGGTGACACGGAGACTATGCTATCAGCTCAATCACGCTGGTAGAGCTATTACAGTACGCTGTCAGATAGATGATAATGTCAGCGTACGCTGTGCACGCGAATACGGCAGCGACTTAGAGGCTACGATGCCGCACAGCTGGAGAAAGGTTCCCGGCTCGCCGGGACTGGTGAGGTGGGACGCGCAGACGGGGAAACGATCTGCGGTAGAAGGGGAAATAGGCAAGTGACGTCAGTGCACGGGGAGGGGAAGGCTCGTGTTGTGTGCGATGGTGGTGCGCGAGTGAGTGTGACCCGCCCTTGGCCGCGTCTGCTGTGCCTGTCACGACAACTCACGACTCACAACAAGCTGTGGACGTTGAGTGCGAGAGTGCTGGTCGCTCGGGGTCGCACGAGATGGTGACTTCGACCTGGCGACAGCTGCTGTGCTGTCGGCGAACCAAGGGTAGCGACTAGAGCGTGCATCTCCACCGCAAAATGTGGGTACACGTCAGACGTCACTTCCAATACATGCGGAGTGACATCGATGCTGGTTACCAGGATGACCGATGCGTTATTCGCTTTCAGCCTTCTACACCACATGCAATAAGATGTTAAGTTAATTGGCCTAAGTCTACATCTAAAACGGAGTTGACCACATCTAGGATGAAACGCGGTGAAAGACTTGAGTGAAGCAAGTGTTCGTGCTGAGCGCGATGAAGCAAGCCATAATTGGCGATATTGGCGACTGTGGACCTATGGTAATAGCCTCCAGCTTATATTTGATAGAACTACATACAGGCTTTAGGATTAGAACGCTTTTAGGAAAGAAAGGTAAAAAGTGTGCACAGAAGCTTGTGGCAGTTGCAAACACCGGCATGAAAGTGACTCGTCAAAAGCAGCCCCTTGTTTGACGCTTCAGCCCGCGAATCTGTGCTCTCTCCAAGTCGCGCTGCGACCACGTCTAAACATGCCGTAGGAGCAAATGACTTCGTCTAGTGAGTAGCACTCCTTACGCCGCCCCTAGCGCTGGTCCGATCAACGGCCACGATGAGCCAGGAGGTGCGTGCAATGCGGCGGTTGCAGCAGCAGCTGCAGCTGCGCGGAGTGACGGTGGATCGCGCGGCGCTGCAGAGCGTGGTGGAGTACGTGCTGGAGGCGGGGTGCAGCGAGCAACAGGCCGTCGACGACCTGCTCCGCGGCATCACCGCGCTCGAACGTACGCCGCTTAGTGCGCGAGAAAGTTAGCCGGGAATGGGTTTTGAGGCGCTTCAACAGTCGAACGTACGCCGCTCAATGCGCAAGAATGTTAGCGGGGAATGGGATGAGCGCGGATAGGGTGGTGGATGGGAGCTTGGGGCGAGAGAGAAGGGATTCTCAGCGAGCGTGTGGGTCTAGGCTGTGAGAGTGGCGCGTAATTGTGATAATAGGCGCTTGAGTGCCCGCGGATGGCGCTGTTTGCGGAACGTGTGGCGCGGCAGGCGGGAGCGAGGAGGGTCGGGAGCGAGAATGAGAATTAGCAGTCAGTCCCTGGTCCGACGCCTGCCCACCACGAGGCAGTCCCTGGTCCGACGCCTGCCCACCACCACGCCTGCCCTGGTCCGACGCCTGCCCACCACGAGGCAGTCCCTGGTCCGACGCCTACCCACCACCACGCCTCACCTCTCGCCCTTCTTTCCTCTCCTCGCCCCTCTCCCACAACGGCAGTGGGCGTGCAGGTGGTGTCGCGCGACGTGGTCCGCCAGGTCCTTCTGCAGCCCCTCCGCGCGCGCTCCCGCGCACCCCCCGCTGATGCGGGGGGAACTGCAGGCGGAAGCAGCCGCGGCGAGCACGCAGGGGGGGGCGCGCGGCCAGATGCGCTGGGGGGCGTGGGGCGAAACGGGGGAGCGGGGGAGGTGATGGAGGGGGGGCGGGGGGAGGCTGTGGAGGGGTGGATGCGCGAGTGGCGCGCGCTGGTGGTGATCGACGGGTTCAGCATGGCGCGTGTGGACTACGACCCCCTCCGCAAGCACTTCTCCAGGTCCATGCTCCCTGCGCCTCCGCTCCGCCTCTGGGTTGACCGTGCATATGTGCTTGCTGTCACTGAGATGGGCGTGGTTGAGGATGCGAGGGCAAAGGACGGTTTGAGTGGGTGTCGCCGTGGGAGGAGAGAGGACGTGAAGGGCGCAACGTTAGTCATCGGAATGCCCTGCTTCCTCTCCTCCTCATCCCCTCCGCTTCTGCCTTTTCCCTCTCTTCTGAACCGACCCACACCCCAAACCCTCCTCTCACCGGCACCGCTCCTGCCCTTGCCTTCTCTCCCCTTCCCTGTCACCCGCTGTCTCTTCTCCTCCCCGCGTGTCAACCCCTCCCTCCCGCTCACCTTGCTCCTGCCCTCACAGGGCACAGGTGGGCCAATGGCCACCACACCTCCAAACTGTGGCTGCGCCTTATCATGCTCCTTCATTTGCGACCTCACACCCTTCCTCCATCACCACGCACCGTACTGCACCACAACTCCGTTCCTTTTTCCTCCTTTGAAACTCTCCCCACCCCACATGCCCCACCTCCCCTGTCCTCCCCCGTGCCCCCAACCCCATGTGCACTACATGCGCGCAGGCACCGTGGGCCACTGTCCCTGGCGGGGGCGCCTAACAGCAAGGCGGACGTGCTGCGGCGCCGCCTGCACCTGCTGCTGGCGCGCACGGCCCGCCACCGCCGCTTCGCCGTGCCGCTGCTGCCTCTGGGCTCCGCGCAGCAGCAGCAGGAGTAGTACACCAAGGTGCCATGCCATGCAGCACGGGCAGGGGGGCCATGGGGAAGAGGGGCTGGGGCGCTTGGGGCAGTGGGTGAAGGGGAAGAAGCTAGAGTTTCTGAATTCGTTTAGCGAGTTCCTCTTTCTAGCCCTCTTGCTCCCCTGCAAAACCCCCACTGTTCTCCCCCCTCCACCCTGTCCACCGTCCTCGCCCCGAGTGCAGCTGACGCCAGTGCAGGCGTTGGTGGGCGGCACGGCATCATCACAGCAGAGGCGGCATCACGTGGTGGGCGTGCTCGCCTAGCTGGAGGACGGCCGCTTCTTCCTCGAAGACCTCTCTGCCTCGCTGCCGCTCGACCTCTCCCATGCCATATCCGCCCTCCGTTCCGCCCCTTTCCCATTCTCACCACACTCACTACTGTATGCACTACCTCACTCTCAGTAGTGAAGCATAGCCTGTTGACAGTAGTGAAGCATAGCCTGTTGACAGTAGTGAAGCATAGCCTGTTGCCAGTAGTGAAGCATAGCCTGTTGCCAGTAGTGAAGCATAGCCTGTTGACAGTAGTGAAGCATAGCCTGTTGCCAGTAGTGAAGCATAGCCTGTTGCCAGTAGTGAAGCATAGCCTGTTGCCAGTAGTGAAGCATAGCCTGTTGCCAGTAGTGAAGCATAGCCTGTTGCCAGTAGTGAGGCATAGCCTGTTGCCAGTAGTGAAGCATAGCCTGTTGCCAGTAGTGAAGCATAGCCTGTTGCCAGTAGTGAAGCATAGCCTGTTGCCAGTAGTGAAGCATAGCCTGTTGCCAGTAGTGAAGCATAGCCTGTTGCCAGTAGTGAAGCATAGCCTGTTGCCAGTAGTGAAGCATAGCCTGTTGCCAGTAGTGAAGCATAGCCTGTTGCCAGTAGTGAAGCATAGCCTGTTGCCAGTAGTGAGGCATAGCCTGTTGCCAGTAGTGAAGCATAGCCTGTTGCCAGTAGTGAAGCATAGCCTGTTGCCAGTAGTGAAGCATAGCCTGTTGCCAGTAGTGAAGCATAGCCTGTTGCCAGTAGTGAAGCATAGCCTGTTGCCAGTAGTGAAGCATAGCCTGTTGCCAGTAGTGAAGCATAGCCTGTTGCCAGTAGTGAGGCATAGCCTGTTGCCAGTAGTGAAGCATAGCCTGTTGCCAGTAGTGAAGCATAGCCTGTTGCCAGTAGTGAAGCATAGCCTGTTGCCAGTAGTGAAGCATAGCCTGTTGCCAGTAGTGAAGCATAGCCTGTTGCCAGTAGTGAAGCATAGCCTGTTGCCAGTAGTGAAGCATAGCCTGTTGCCAGTAGTGAAGCATAGCCTGTTGCCAGTAGTGAAGCATAGCCTGTTGCCAGTAGTGAAGCATAGCCTGTTGCCAGTAGTGAAGCATAGCCTGTTGCCAGTAGTGAAGCATAGCCTGTTGCCAGTAGTGAAGCATAGCCTGTTGCCAGTAGTGAAGCATAGCCTGTTGCCAGTAGTGAAGCATAGCCTGTTGCCAGTAGTGAAGCATAGCCTGTTGCCAGTAGTGAAGCATAGCCTGTTGCCAGTAGTGAAGCATAGCCTGTTGCCAGTAGTGAAGCATAGCCTGTTGCCAGTAGTGAAGCATAGCCTGTTGCCAGTAGTGAAGCATAGCCTGTTGCCAGTAGTGAAGCATAGCCTGTTGCCAGTAGTGAAGCATAGCCTGTTGCCAGTAGTGAAGCATAGCCTGTTGCCAGTAGTGAAGCATAGCCTGTTGCCAGTAGTGAAGCATAGCCTGTTGCCAGTAGTGAAGCATAGCCTGTTGCCAGTAGTGAAGCATAGCCTGTTGCCAGTAGTGAAGCATAGCCTGTTGCCAGTAGTGAAGCATAGCCTGTTGCCAGTAGTGAAGCATAGCCTGTTGCCAGTAGTGAAGCATAGCCTGTTGCCAGTAGTGAAGCATAGCCTGTTGCCAGTAGTGAAGCATAGCCTGTTGCCAGTAGTGAAGCATAGCCTGTTGCCAGTAGTGAAGCATAGCCTGTTGCCAGTAGTGAAGCATAGCCTGTTGCCAGTAGTGAAGCATAGCCTGTTGCCAGTAGTGAAGCATAGCCTGTTGCCAGTAGTGAAGCATAGCCTGTTGCCAGTAGTGAAGCATAGCCTGTTGCCAGTAGTGAAGCATAGCCTGTTGCCAGTAGTGAAGCATAGCCTGTTGCCAGTAGTGAAGCATAGCCTGTTGCCAGTAGTGAAGCATAGCCTGTTGCCAGTAGTGAAGCATAGCCTGTTGCCAGTAGTGAAGCATAGCCTGTTGCCAGTAGTGAAGCATAGCCTGTTGCCAGTAGTGAAGCATAGCCTGTTGCCAGTAGTGAAGCATAGCCTGTTGCCAGTAGTGAAGCATAGCCTGTTGCCAGTAGTGAAGCATAGCCTGTTGCCAGTAGTGAAGCATAGCCTGTTGCCAGTAGTGAAGCATAGCCTGTTGCCAGTAGTGAAGCATAGCCTGTTGCCAGTAGTGAAGCATAGCCTGTTGCCAGTAGTGAAGCATAGCCTGTTGCCAGTAGTGAAGCATAGCCTGTTGCCAGTAGTGAAGCATAGCCTGTTGCCAGTAGTGAAGCATAGCCTGTTGCCAGTAGTGAAGCATAGCCTGTTGCCAGTAGTGAAGCATAGCCTGTTGCCAGTAGTGAAGCATAGCCTGTTGCCAGTAGTGAAGCATAGCCTGTTGCCAGTAGTGAAGCATAGCCTGTTGCCAGTAGTGAAGCATAGCCTGTTGCCAGTAGTGAAGCATAGCCTGTTGCCAGTAGTGAAGCATAGCCTGTTGCCAGTAGTGAAGCATAGCCTGTTGCCAGTAGTGAAGCATAGCCTGTTGCCAGTAGTGAAGCATAGCCTGTTGCCAGTAGTGAAGCATAGCCTGTTGCCAGTAGTGAAGCATAGCCTGTTGCCAGTAGTGAAGCATAGCCTGTTGCCAGTAGTGAAGCATAGCCTGTTGCCAGTAGTGAAGCATAGCCTGTTGCCAGTAGTGAAGCATAGCCTGTTGCCAGTAGTGAAGCATAGCCTGTTGCCAGTAGTGAAGCATAGCCTGTTGCCAGTAGTGAAGCATAGCCTGTTGCCAGTAGTGAAGCATAGCCTGTTGCCAGTAGTGAAGCATAGCCTGTTGCCAGTAGTGAAGCATAGCCTGTTGCCAGTAGTGAAGCATAGCCTGTTGCCAGTAGTGAAGCATAGCCTGTTGCCAGTAGTGAAGCATAGCCTGTTGCCAGTAGTGAAGCATAGCCTGTTGCCAGTAGTGAAGCATAGCCTGTTGCCAGTAGTGAAGCATAGCCTGTTGCCAGTAGTGAAGCATAGCCTGTTGCCAGTAGTGAAGCATAGCCTGTTGCCAGTAGTGAAGCATAGCCTGTTGCCAGTAGTGAAGCATAGCCTGTTGCCAGTAGTGAAGCATAGCCTGTTGCCAGTAGTGAAGCATAGCCTGTTGCCAGTAGTGAAGCATAGCCTGTTGCCAGTAGTGAAGCATAGCCTGTTGCCAGTAGTGAAGCATAGCCTGTTGCCAGTAGTGAAGCATAGCCTGTTGCCAGTAGTGAAGCATAGCCTGTTGCCAGTAGTGAAGCATAGCCTGTTGCCAGTAGTGAAGCATAGCCTGTTGCCAGTAGTGAAGCATAGCCTGTTGCCAGTAGTGAAGCATAGCCTGTTGCCAGTAGTGAAGCATAGCCTGTTGCCAGTAGTGAAGCATAGCCTGTTGCCAGTAGTGAAGCATAGCCTGTTGCCAGTAGTGAAGCATAGCCTGTTGCCAGTAGTGAAGCATAGCCTGTTGCCAGTAGTGAAGCATAGCCTGTTGCCAGTAGTGAAGCATAGCCTGTTGCCAGTAGTGAAGCATAGCCTGTTGCCAGTAGTGAAGCATAGCCTGTTGCCAGTAGTGAAGCATAGCCTGTTGCCAGTAGTGAAGCATAGCCTGTTGCCAGTAGTGAAGCATAGCCTGTTGCCAGTAGTGAAGCATAGCCTGTTGCCAGTAGTGAAGCATAGCCTGTTGCCAGTAGTGAAGCATAGCCTGTTGCCAGTAGTGAAGCATAGCCTGTTGCCAGTAGTGAGGCATAGCCTGTTGCCAGTAGTGAAGCATAGCCTGTTGCCAGTAGTGAAGCATAGCCTGTTGCCAGTAGTGAAGCATAGCCTGTTGCCAGTAGTGAAGCATAGCCTGTTGCCAGTAGTGAAGCATAGCCTGTTGACAGTAGTGAAGCATAGCCTGTTGCCAGTAGTGAAGCATAGCCTGTTGCCAGTAGTGAAGCATAGCCTGTTGCCAGTAGTGAAGCATAGCCTGTTGCCAGTAGTGAAGCATAGCCTGTTGCCAGTAGTGAAGCATAGCCTGTTGCCAGTAGTGAAGCATAGCCTGTTGCCAGTAGTGAAGCATAGCCTGTTGCCAGTAGTGAAGCATAGCCTGTTGACAGTAGTGAAGCATAGCCTGTTGCCAGTAGTGAAGCATAGCCTGTTGCCAGTAGTGAAGCATAGCCTGTTGACAGTAGTGAAGCATAGCCTGTTGACAGTAGTGAAGCATAGCCTGTTGACAGTAGTGAAGCATAGCCTGTTGCCAGTAGTGAAGCATAGCCTGTTGCCAGTAGTGAAGCATAGCCTGTTGACAGTAGTGAAGCATAGCCTGTTGACAGTAGTGAAGCATAGCCTGTTGCCAGTAGTGAAGCATAGCCTGTTGCCAGTAGTGAAGCATAGCCTGTTGCCAGTAGTGAAGCATAGCCTGTTGCCAGTAGTGAAGCATAGCCTGTTGACAGTAGTGAAGCATAGCCTGTTGCCAGTAGTGAAGCATAGCCTGTTGCCAGTAGTGAAGCATAGCCTGTTGACAGTAGTGAAGCATAGCCTGTTGACAGTAGTGAAGCATAGCCTGTTGACAGTAGTGAAGCATAGCCTGTTGCCAGTAGTGAAGCATAGCCTGTTGCCAGTAGTGAAGCATAGCCTGTTGACAGTAGTGAAGCATAGCCTGTTGACAGTAGTGAAGCATAGCCTGTTGCCAGTAGTGAAGCATAGCCTGTTGCCAGTAGTGAAGCATAGCCTGTTGACAGTAGTGAAGCATAGCCTGTTGCCAGTAGTGAAGCATAGCCTGTTGCCAGTAGTGAAGCATAGCCTGTTGACAGTAGTGAAGCATAGCCTGTTGACAGTAGTGAAGCATAGCCTGTTGACAGTAGTGAAGCATAGCCTGTTGCCAGTAGTGAAGCATAGCCTGTTGCCAGTAGTGAAGCATAGCCTGTTGACAGTAGTGAAGCATAGCCTGTTGCCAGTAGTGAAGCATAGCCTGTTGCCAGTAGTGAAGCATAGCCTGTTGCCAGTAGTGAAGCATAGCCTGTTGACAGTAGTGAAGCATAGC